TCTGAGTTCGAATTTATGAAGATATTTTAGTTTTCAAATTTATAATTGGAGGAGGGGGGCAGTGTCTTTGTTTGGAAATAGTGTCAAAATTAAGTGTGCGAGCCACAATATTTGAGTCGCTGCCAGCATGAACACGAAGAAAATTGTTTCCAAAGCATTGGCCAGATCACCAATAATATCCACCACGGAACCAATTTCTAAAATAGAATCCCTTCCAACATCCAACTCCTTCAAAATTGACGAGGATTCAGTTAAAAAAATATATATATAACACCGGATTTATGTTTTTTTACACACCAACTTTTGGAGGTTGGCTTTTTGATCTTAGGTTTTGAATTGTCGTGGAGATAAATTTGTGAGAAATTAGCTAGTAGATTAGCTTTGTGTAATTTTGTACTTATATATAATAATTTTGTTTTTGTAATGAAATATTTTTTAAGAAGTAAATATATTTTCTCCGGCGGCATAACTACATAAATATTTATAGAGCTTATAAGGAAGGTAGAATTGTAGTTGCCTTTGCTATTATATTTTCCCAACTTAATTGCTGTCTTTGACTAACGTTAAAAATCTATTCTAAGGAAAAAAACAAAAAAGAGTAACGTAAAATTTTATTTAAATAATATCTTTAACTAACGTAACACAATTCAAAAGATTTTTTTTTTCTGGCCAAGCTCACATTTTTTCTTCTATGGGAGGTTATTAGAGGTCGAAATCCTCATAAATATATAAAAATATGCTAATGCATCTCAACAAATTGGTCAAATTGTACCAACTATCCTAAAGTGTATGAAACGTATTACCTGAATTTTATAAAAAGAGAATAATGATACATCTTACTAAGGTAAAATATGAGAATTTAAATATTCTAAAGATCCCGGATATGTGATGTATATGCCATTCGACTTTCAACCGAAGGTCAATTCAAATCATCTCAATTGATGTTCATCATTGCTCTCCTCGATTTAGCAAGCAACTGAGTGTCTTTTGCTATCAATACTTTAATTATTGTTTTATAAGTGGGCATCAAACTGTGTTATTAATAGATGATTTATATATATCCATTTAATTAGGCTTAGATAACTCTAGCGAGTAATAATTTTATTAAGGGATGAACCAAAGCATCAAACGAAAAATCAAACCAACCGTCGGTATGTGGGTAGTAGGATCTGAATTTTCAAAATAAAATAGTTGATCGATCGATTCCATTAAATCCCATAAAATTGACTGAACATCAAGATTGATTCCGCATTGGTTTTGGCCCAAAATCGACCCACCGATGATCCCCTAGTTTAATTAGTTTTTTCTTTTTCTTTTTTTAGTTTAATTAGTTGTGGACATAAAACTTGAATTAAAAATAAAGTAATGTGGAATAAAGGGATAAACTATAAAGTATTAAATACTCCTACGCTCTTAAAAAGATATGTTAATTACCCTGTAATTTTCCACGAAGGAAGGCGCAAAACTTGGTTTAATGAACGATTGACATTTGAGAATGACACAACACCCATTTTGATTTTCCTAAATACGTAAAATAAAATAATAATAGAAAATAGAAAAATTTCACTGACCAATCAATCAATACAAAATTTCTATTTCTTCCTCCTTTTTCAGCACAAAAAGTAAAACCTTGACCGTATATATCAAACTTATCAGATTCCGGCGGCGGCGGGTCAAACTTCCGCCGGAACCCGAACATGGCGCGGCGGAGCTAGGACCTTTATGATTATCTTCGATAACGATATGGTTGTTAGAGATCAGTTGTTGGGAAGTTATTTAAGCAGCTGATCTTTTCAGGAATGAGAGGGGAGGATTCTCGGCCCAAGTTTGAGAAGCAATTTTCCGGCGAGAAACTGCTGCCGTTCGCCAAGTCGCCGCCTCGATTTCCCGTTATCTTCTTCTTCGCCGTCGCGCTCATCGTCGGCGGGCTTCTCTCCGGGCGACTCCTTATTTCCTCGGTAAGCTAATTAGACTTGTAATTTAATTATTTCCCTCTTTATCTCTTCCGAAATTCCTAAAACATAATTTTGCCTCACAAATTTTCATGGTTTAGAATGTTGAAGGTTCTTATAAGGTTCATGTTTCTCCTTTTTGTATAAATTTCATAAACAACAAAATCAACAAGTTTGTTGTTCAATTGTTTTTTTTTTCAAAATATGGATGAATTGTTTTTTGTTATGCTTTACTTAAAAAAATGTATAAAATATTAAGGATTGATATAATATAACATAAAAATTTAAATATTTAAATTTGAAAAATTAATCTTCATATAAAATTTATACTTTTTAATTTAATTTAAAATTTTAGATACAAGAAATAGTGAATAATAGTTCTCAAACATGTTTCCTTTTGCTTTTACAAAGAGAAAAAAAAAAAGAAATAACAAGAACATGAAATAGTTATTAATTATATTCTTGTTGATGAAAACTTGGGAACAAATATTAAGGGTAGTCTCAGGACCATTTCGTTTTTTATTTTTAAAAATTTATGCTTGTTTTTGTATAATTTCATTAATACAACCTCTTGGAAAATATATTTGAATTCTTAGACAAATTTAAAAAATAACAATAAATTTTTTAAGACTATTTTTTTTGTTTTAAAAACTTTGACCTAAATTTTGAAAATGTTTATAAAAACTGGTCTAATAAAACAAAGGTTAATTAGAATTTATATTTTATTAATAATGTTAATAATGATGTAATTACTAAATTGAATTTCAAGTCATCAATGTATGCCACGTGGTTGAATAAAAGTTGAGCCAATGCTACTCATGGTCTATTAATGTTGTGGAGTCCACAACTGAATTATTAATAATTAATAAATTAATTAGTAGAGAATTCGAATTCAGGAGGGAAGAGTTGAGAATATGTCTTTAAGCTATGCCTAGGGTTATTTTAATAAATTAAATATAAATATTTAAAATGTTCAATATAGGGACTGAAATCCGATGTTCACCCTCCACAACCACGACGACATGTCGAGCAACTCAACGGCACGACATTCAACTCGACGAAAACGAAACAAGACCCGGATGGCCCGCCGCATGCCACGTGTCCAGAGTATTTCCGTTGGATCTACGAGGACCTACGACCGTGGGCCGGGACGAGGATAACGAAGGGGATGTTAGAAGCGGCCCAAAAGAAGGCCCATTTCAGGCTAGTGATCGTGAAGGGAAAGGCCTACGTGGAGGTGTACGAAAAGGCATACCAAAGCAGAGACAATCTTACGCTGTGGGGGGTCCTACAGTTGTTACGGAGATACCCAGGGAAATTGCCCGATCTTGATCTGATGTTTAACTGTGATGACCGGCCAGAGATCTATCGAAAAGATTACAGTGGGCCCCAGGCGCCGGCCCCACCTCCCTTGTTTCGGTACAGTGGAGATGATGCCACGTTGGACATTGCGTTTCCTGATTGGTCCTATTGGGGTTGGTAAGACCTTTATGAATCCTCCCATTTTAAATAAAAACAATTTATATTTTATTCTGTTATAATTATGTTATATTGAAATAATTTCAAGTTTTGATCAAATTACTGTTTTACTTTTGAAAATTTAGGCTGAATCTTATTTTGAAAAAAGAAGATTTGAAATGCTGAAGTTTGATTTAGATTATTAATTAGTGATGGTTCAACTGACAAAGTCCAATTGATTTAAGATATGTTTTCAAAGTTTAGTTCTTTGAAAAAATAGTTTGGATGATTATTGATTTAGGTTGATTAAGATACCATTAAGATGTTCAGAGGAAAATGAGGAGGACGCAGTTTAAATAATAGAAAATTTATTGGAGAGTTATAAAAACAAAAATAATGAAGCAATGTTGAACTTCATGAACTAAAAGTAGTGACAAACCTTAAAATAAGGTTTAAATACTATTTTGGTTCATATACGTTCAAACTGTAATTTTTATCTCTTACTTCCAATTTTTGTCTATTTTAGTGATGGACTTTACAAACATGTATTTTAGTCATGGTCCCTCAATTTTCTTTTCTATTTCATTTTTTCTCGATTATGATTTTAGTAAAGTATTACATTCAATAAAATTTCTTGAAATGTAGTATTAGTTTTGTATTAAAGAGTTTTGGGTTGCATATAAAACTTAGTGATTATTTTTTTAAAATGTAGGAACCAAATCATGCGTTTGTGCAAAATATATGGACTAAAATAGACATAAGTTGGAGTAAATCAAAATGAACAATTAAAAAATACAGGGACCAAAACTTCAAAATAGAGTAACCAAAATAATATTTCAACTCGAAAAAAAAAAAAAAATTAGTGTCTTGATATGAGTAATAGTGTGAAGCAATTAATTGGTAATTATATTTGTTATGTTATTAATGATTTGGGTAGGCCTGAGATAAGAATAAAGCCATGGGAAGAAATGTTGAAGGATATAAAAGAAGGGAACAAGGAGATGGAATGGGTGAAGAGGGAACCATATGCATATTGGAAGGGAAATCCATCGGTGTCTCACAAAAGGACAGACCTTCTAAAATGCAATCTCACACGCAAACAAGATTGGAATGCTCGTTTATATAGGCAGGTACAAATCTCATCCGTCTCGTTTGATAATTATTTTATTTTTTATTTACTATTTTTAAAAATTATATTTGAGTTCTCACGATTTATTTGATATATATTTTTAGGTAAATTCCAAAAGCAAAAATAAGTTTTTAAAAACTACTTAATTTTCAAACACTTCTAGGCTTAGTGTTTTTGTTGGAAAACAAAAATGAAATATAATGGTTTTCGAATGAGCATAATTAATTTTCATATTATATATATTGTTGACATTTTTAATTTTTAATTTTTGGTGTTAGGATTGGATTGAAGAGTGGAAAGGCGGGTTCAAAGGCTCAAACTTGGCCGACCAATGTGTTTATAGGTTAATAATTGAATTTAAGGGGTTAATTAACTTAAGTTAGGGATAGTTATATTAAAATATGATATGATTTATATAATATGCAGGTACAAAATATATATTGAAGGAAAGGCATGGTCAGCGAGTGAAAAATACATTATGGCATGTGATTCAGTAACCCTAATTGTGAGGCCTCATTACTATGATTTCTTCTCAAGAAGTTTGATTCCAATGCAACACTATTGGCCCATCTCCCCTAACCGCAACTCTATATGTTCTTCTATCAAATTTGCTGTCGATTGGGGTAACTCCCACCACCAAAAGGTACCTTTTTTACCCTAATTTTTTTTACTTCACTTGCAAAGTTGTTCTTACTCACATTTAAAATACAATTTAAGTTATGTATTGAAATTAATGAGTCTTTTTTTAAGGCGATGGCGATCGGAGAAGCAGCAAGCAAGTTCATCCAAGAAGAGCTAAATATGGATTATGTATACGACTACATGTTTCATCTTCTCAACGAATATTCTAAGCTGTTGACGTTCAAGCCGACGGTCCCGTCGAATGCGACAGAGCTCTCGTTGGAATCAATGGCTTCCGCTGTGAGAAGGTCGGTGAGAAAGTGGATGATGAAGTCGTTTGTGAAGAGCCCTGCCGTTTCCGACCCCTGCGCCATGAAGCCGCCGTACGATCCACAGTCTATGGAACTTTGGCTTACAACAAAAGAGAATTCTATCAAACAAGTGGAAGAATGGGAGGAAAGTTCTTGGGAAAATAATGGTGATCCAACTTTGAACCCAATGAGCTAATGCTTGCTCTTTCTTTTCCCGTTTCATTAATTTTATAGTCAAAGTTACCATTAGGATAAATCAATATTTTATCTTTTTGGTCGAGCATAGTTAAGTGGTAATTGATGTATACCTAAGTTCGAATCTCCTCTCCAATATATTGTACTAAGAAAAATGTTTTGTCTTTTTGTAACGTTTTGTAACGAGTTCTTGTTCATATTCTTTGTTTAGGCTGAGTGTCATTTTCTTTTTGGCTCTATTTTCAAATCAACAGTGGGTTCCAAATTTCCACCTAAAAAGTAATAACCAAAAAAAAAAAAAAGGAGATTGATTTTGTGTAGTATAGAAATTGGGAATGGTTCACTAATAAACAAAATTCAGGTCGGATACTAAATTTTGAGTACAAAACATGTAGATATATGCCAATTATTGTTGAGCTATGCTGGCATTGACGATTGTTATCCTAGATTCTAACTTATTAATATTAAGATGGTATAACAGAATTATTAAAGGGATGTGACATTATTAGTATTCAAATCAGAGAAAAAGTGTAAGTTAGCTCAATAGTAATTGACACGAGTTGATCAAGAGGTTATGAATTTGATTCCTTACTTATTGTACTAAAAAAAATCACAAGAAAAATAAATTTTGCATTAATTAAAACGAGTGAATCAGTTTTCTGTTGTTATATAGAATTACAAATTCATTATGATGAGATAATGAGATGTGAAAGAGAACAAAGGAAGCCCAAAGAATCAAAAGCACCACACCAAAAGTTACAACCATTGGCACCCATTTTACGGCAGTTGCCTGACAACAACATCCAACATTAAGGCTTATCCTTTGTTTGGCTGCCGAGAAAATGAAAGAAAATTATCAACTGAGATGCTTCAATTAAATAGATCTGCACGTACCTCCAAACAGGTTGGGGATTTGCATTACAGATTGATCTTTCCACCATATGATCTAGTGCTATAACAAACCAGAAAAAAAATTAAAAATTAACGTGAATCCGAGCATAGCTAAAGCACCAGTTACCTTTAGCTGAGATCAAATGTTCAATCCTCCTCCCCACATCTGTTGTAATAAAAAAAGAACGAAAAATTAACTTTTGGTGTAGTATGAGGAGCCGATAATTACCTAGTTTTTTCCTTTCTAAAATTTCAAAAAGTGAACATGTGACAATGTCTGGACACCTTAGCCAGGATTTGCATTGAGCTTATGTAGATTGGCTTGTGTCCTTGTATCAATGTACCGTTTTCTAATATTGCTAATTATTCTATCTACATACATCAATTGGTCGATAAGTATATTTCAATTCAAATCATAAAAAGAAGTAATACTCACTGATTAAACTATTAATAATGTGTAGTATAGGATGTGAAAAAATATTTCCTTGGCGTACACATTTGGAAAGAAACTAAATTTGTATGAAGAGGGTTGAGAAAGGCTTACCAAATTTGGCAAAACTATTGGGTTTGGTAAGACGTTTATTAGGGCATCATCAAACTTGGCAAGCTCCTTTTGCAAATCTTGCAAGTAATGGAGAGCCAGCTTTCTTGGGTATGAAGAATCACACAATGTGATGCAGCAGACACCATTCTCCACCAAGTAACTAAATGCAAAAAACCCAACTTTAATTCAAAGTCTGAGACAACAAAAGCAGCTCTACTTTGTTTTGTCTTAATAAGTTTTGAGGTTACGAAGAAATAAGAATGTTTGATTTGTAGTTTTGCGAGGATTTTGATCCGTCGGGACTGACGGAGCTCGAATCTGTAAACACCTTGACAGGGTGATGCTTTGATTGATTGAGCAAAATATGGTATAAAATGTGAGTTTTATAAATCTAAGTTTATATAACGCAAACTTAACCTATATAGTAGGTGGGAAATCGTAACCTGAAATAAGCAAAACCTATATGCTAGAGAAAGTTTTGTAGATCTAAGTCTCCATTTCTTAGCCTGAGTTAAACAAACCTAACTCATAAACCAAACACCTCCTGACAATATTTGTTTCAATCTTATTTTTTATGTTAAAGTATGTGTTAAAGTCTTCATTTTTAAAATAAAAGCTTGAGAAAAAGTGATTTCTTCGTCATCAATTCTCTCCCATTCTTCCTCTTGAGATGCATAATCCATGACTAAAAGTTGAAGACTAAATTGGACAATCCGGATTAATTCTTTTTCTATACTTCATCATGAATAATAAGAGTTAGAATAAAGGAAAAGAGAAAATTGAAGAGTGGTACATGAAACATTGATGATGAATCAGAATGGCCATTTTTGAAGGTGAGAAGGCCCCTCTAGAGATGTGTTTGAGTATGAATTCAGCTTGCTGTTTGTAGCCTAAAACATCTATCATTCTCTTCATTAAAATACCCAATGCCCTGTGCAAGTGGCAGCCCATCCCTAAGCCTTCCAACAATTGTCAACTTCACCATATCCCCTCTCAGCAAAACCTTAATTTGATGAAGTTTGTGATGAAATTGAGATCCTTGTTGCTTCAAATTCAGAAACTCCCATCAACATCAAAGAAAAAACCAGCTTTAATCTCCTCATTAACTTCCAATTCTAAAATTAAGAAATTACAGATATATAATGATCCAAAAGAAACAAGTATACAAAGCAAATCCCACCATAATCAACATAAATTAATAATCAAACTAGCAATTTCACAGAGAGAAATTGCTTCAGAAACAACCAAGGAGCTTGTTTGGAGCAGTTCCAGTGGCTCTCCATTTTGCTGCAGTTTCCTCTGCCTTGAGCATGTCTTCTCCACGTATGGCTTCAATAATGGCCTTCTTTTCCTCTGCTGATTTGTGGATCTCAGCTATTTTGTTCTTCATTTTCTCTATATACTCTGCTTTCTTCTTCTCCAATTTTTCCTGCCACCAAAATGTTCCTGTCATCCAAACAGATTCTTCCACAAAAAGCTTCCATTTTTCCAGATTGCTTACCTCAATCTGTTTCAGCTCAGCCTCCACAGCTGCTTTCTTGCTGTTCTCCCATGACCCAATTTCTGATAGCTTTTTGTGTGCTCTGCTCAACAAATCCCATCAATTATATGTAACTAAAAATATCAGAAAAGGAAATTTCCAAAAAGGGATGACAAGAGTAACTCTGCTTAATCACATATGTGACTAATAAGTGTGTTTAAAATCATAATCAAAATTTAAAGATGATGGTTACCTGTTCTCTGCCTTTGATTTTTCACTCTCTTCCCAAGCTTTGATGAGTGACAATCTCTTCTCTGTTGCCACTCTGGCTAGCACAGCATCTGAAAACCAAAAAAGAAAGGAAAAAACAAAAAATTTAATGCAATTACTGATTTGGTAATTAGATTATTGACATTAATCATTCCATATCACCATCTGATTACCTCTATTAATTGAGCCTCCATTGTCTTTCTCTTTCTGCTCTGCTTTTTCTGGAGTCTCTATCAATTTCAAAAGAAGATAAAGCCAAACATGAAATTTAGGACACACCCAAAAAATAAAAATAAAAAATAAAAAATTCTGGCTTTCCTTTTACAAATTCACAGGAAAGCTAAATTTTGCATTCTCTCTTCTTTCTAGCCAACCAAACAGATTAATTACACGAGAGAAAAAAAAAAAAACAGAGGAAGATTAATTCCAAGAATAAGATTCCATTCCCCTTTTTTTTCAACCTTTATTTTCTTTTCCCACCAACCAAAAATCTAAGGTAAAAACCCAAAAAGTAATCAGAAAAAGTTGAGAGTTTTTATATATGTAAATTACTTTCAACGACAGCCAGAGCTTTGGAGTGATCGGCCGGATTCTCCATCTCCTCCGGTGGGGTTCGTGGGATGATTGATTTCTCCTCCGCCACATCTTTGGACGGCTCCTCAACCGGCTCCGCCGCAGGCAGCGGTGGAGGCTTTGACGAGGATTCAGATTCTCCCTGAGCGGCCATTTCTGGGTTAAAAGTGGGAAATTGAAATAGAGAGAGAGAGAGAGAGAGAGAGAGAGGTGGTTGAGATATTATAGTTGGGAGTTGGGAGAAAGAAGAAGGCAACGGTGAACTGTGAGGAGTTGGTACTTAAAAACTTGAAATAAAGAAACAAAGAAAGAACAAACTTAGCTGGATGATTATGAGTTGACACAACCACATGACATGAGAGAGAGAGCAATTCTTCTAATTACTCAAAACATTCATAAAATATCTTTTTCTCACCAAAATTTAAAAATACCCAAAGCTTCCAAATTAAGGAATACTACTCTATCAATGAGTATTCTCTTCTCAGAAAAAAAAAAATAAGTTGGGTGTATATTCAAATTACGTTTTTATTTAATCTTTATTATATACGTGAAACAGTCATTTATGTAAAGATTGTTAGAGCAAATATAACTAAATGATAATTGACATATATCTCAAATTAGAAAGTTGTGAGTTCAAATTCTACCTCACATGTTGTTGTACTGAAAAAAACTAAAGGCTGAGACCATGTCATGTAATAGATAAATTTAAAAAAAAAATAAAAGAAGGGTAATTATTAAAAATATGTTACAAAATAGAGAAAATTGGATTGAATTGCGTAATAAGTAATAAATAACGGATACTTTGGAATCGAGGAGGATGAGAGATTCAATTGTTGCATCAGCAAAATATCCTCAAGAAAAGGTTTTTTTTTAAGCCCTACATACGACGCCGTATGGCAACCGACCTTTATGACTATTCATTAAAGTGACATCTTATCAATTTTTCTTTTTCCCGAAAATGTCTCTTTCTTAATAAATTAATCACAAAGGATAATTTTTTTTGGACAGATAACCACAAAGGATAATTAAAGAATTAAACGACGTTTATCAATAAATTAATCAATTCAAGAGCCAACTTCATATCTATTTTAAGTCAAAGATTTGAAATAAGCCAAAGCTATCCTATTTTTCTTTTCATTGCCATCAACTCAACCAATGAATCAAATCAAAGCTATATAAAATTTAGGTTGCTTATATTCTTTTAAATTTGTTCTTTTGAGTATACACTTTTTAAAAACTCATTTATTGGTTTTTTTTAAATAAGTGATTACAAATCTACTATTTTAGTCGAGTTTGAGTATAAATTTCAATTTGGTTCTTAAGTTTAAAAAATGACACTTTGATCCCAACCTTAAGAAAATAATAATGATACTAACAGATGTGTCATGGGTCGGATTGATATTTGTTAATTTAATATTATTTTTAATCTTATGTTTAACATTTTCTCTTATCTTCCTCTTATATTTTATCTCTCTTCCCTCGTCTTCTCCTCGTTCTCTCTCCCTCCACCTCTCTCTACAAACTCCATCACGATAGAGTTCAGACGACTTTGATAAATTGGAAGTAAAAATTTCAAATTTTATTTTATCTTTTATCTCTCCTTATCTTTCTCTCTAATATAGATTAATGAACATGTTATCATTGTACAACAATGTGTCAATAATACCAGTAGTCTGTGGAATATTTTGATCTTTCTAATTATTCAAAAATATTTTTTACGTGGATTGATAACAATAAAAACAATTCATTGGGAGTATCATTCATGATTGATTATATGAATAACTACTAATAATCAATTCACTCATTCAAACACGAATCTTTAAAAAGAAAAAAAAAATTCAAACACGAATGTGAGAATTTAAAATTACCGAAAAAAATTGCTAATATTTTGATTAATTGAGTGTCTAGTAAATGTTAAGATTAATGTTTGAATACTATATATTCTCACAAACTTATTATTATTCAAATTAATAGTTACTTTAATTATTTCGAAAATTTGAATAGAGTCGAGACATTACTTACTTTTCCAGAGGTGAATTCCTTGGAAAATTTTCTCCTAACGAAAATATCAATGGTTAAAAAAAGAATATTTTTCTTTTATAAAACAATAAACTCAAACTATTTGGTCACAAATAATATCGAGATTACAATAAAAATAATATTAAATATAGGTAGGAGAGAGAGAACCGACTTTTGATCCACTTTGCTTTTTTGTTTATCTTCCCAAGCCTTGATTTTTGCCTCCGTTTTCTCGAGCTCCTTAATTCCTTTCCCAGCTAGCATTTTGAACATAATTTCTAAATTTTATTTTGAATTACGCAAATATATCTATGGTTATTAATTCAAATCAATAATCATATAAAGGTTCAAGATAAACTTAATTATCTAAGAAAAATCAGATAGAGACATATACATATACATATGTAATTAGTAGAATATAGAATATAGGTTAAGTTTGGTTCATTTTTGTACATATATTTTTAATTTTGGTCCAATTTAGTTCCTATATTTTTAAAAAGTAACCATGTTCATCTTTTAATTTTATTTTAATCTCATTTTCTTTATCACAATTTCAACAAGACAGTACACTTAATATATTTCTTGAAATGTAACAATGCACGTCGCCCGTACGTGTATTTAAACTCTAACGCGACTCTAGCCGGCTTGCCTCTACTCTAGGCCAAGGTCTTCTGAACGCGACGTCGCAACTTGTTTTCAACCATCTTGGTTCTCGGTCACTCGACCGTCCCGCTCCTACGATGAGCCAGGACCTTACCGGGATGAGTTCTGACCTATAACGAGGCCAGAACGAGCTTAAAACGCCAACCGGGTACAACCGGGACATTCCTGCCGCTTAACTATGTCAGAACTAGCTTATCGGGCCCATCGGACGCCTCTAAGACCATTCCTGCCGAGAAACTAGTCAATAACGGGCGACTTTATATTAAAGAGTTTTCGTTATGCGTAGAATTTGTTTTAAAATTTTACAAATAGAGATCAAAATAGTCGCTTTTTAAAAGTAAAAAAGATAAAGAATAAATATTTTAAAAGTACGGTAACTAAAATGAACTAAGGTTGAAAGTACATGATTAAAATGAATATTTGAAAACTACAGTGACAAAACTCAATCAAAGCTAAAATTACATCGACCAAAATAATATTTTAACCTATAATTCACTTGAAGTTTAAAATTAGAAAATACATTGCTCGGACTGAATTAAGGCAAAGAAGTTGTAAAAAATGATATTTCTTTCTAATCATAGAAAATCTTAATTTACATAGTTATGAAAATTAAATGTTTCAATAATGTATTTGGAAGAGTTAGATTGAGGAAGAATGAATACCACGAAGAGTTAAAAGTAACACAAGTACTTAATCAAACGAACATGTACTTATCTCTTCAAATATCGACATATCTAAAAGTTTTAAAAAACAACTAAAGTATATAAGGAAAAAAAAAAACTACCCATTATATGATGATATAACAAAACCACACAAGAAATCTCAGTGCCCTTTAGAAAACTCTCTCTAGATCGCAAAAATGAAAACTTTGTGCTATCTATTTATAATGGAAATATTTAGAGGCTTATAGTAAATTCATTTTCAGCATACCTAACACAATTCACATTTAACTCTATTCCATGCCAATCATTTGAAGGGCTTTTCCTTCCTTTATTTTAATTTATATATGAGATGCTTATTATTACTATATTTTCGTGACAATGTCAAAAACAAAAACAAACAAAAAATATTGCTTTTATGTCATTGCGTTTATTTAATTTATTTTCCTCCTTTTATAATAAATAGATTTTATTTTATAAGCATTATATTTTATAAAATTTTTGAATTAAAAGATAAAATACATCACATCTCTATATTCATTGCAATTTAGACCATTATTAATGAATTAAATCTCCTATTTTTAGGGCTTAAATCTCACGGATCTGCCCCACTTACACCCATCATAAATTTTTTTAATGACCTTAACATTTTATTTTTAACAAAACATTTATCAACGACACCTACTGTAGTCAAAAAATATATCGTATTTACCATTTAATTTCATGTTCTATGTTTTAAAATTTTCACATTTAAATTATGTCTTCAGTTCATGAATTTTCAGCTTGTTACTCTTTCGTTTGGATTTCATTAATTGTTTAGTCTTCGCCGGTGAAATCTCTCCTTACTTTTTTTATTCCATCTTTGATAGATGAAGAGTATTTCATGTACCGATTGTTATTCATGCTCCAGACTGATGTATTTTGTTGTATCCTCTAGTTGCAACTAGGGAAGAAACTTTGTGTAACCCATTATATTTTATAGTGGATGATTTTTGGAACTATCCCGTTGTTTTTCCCCTCACATTGAGAGGTTTTCTATGTAAATCTTGGAGTCTCTATTTTTCTATTGTGTTCTTATGATTTTATTTCTTGCCGAAAAGCTATCAACTATGCATTAAAAATCCCAACACAACAATATCAAATATTGTTTATCCTTGAACGCCACTAATAAATCCAAAATATTAAAATAATACTTTGGTCTCTATATTTTTAGCTTTGATTCATTTTGCTCTATTTACTTTTAAAATTATCGTTTTGGTCTTTATATTTTAAATTTTGGTTCATGTTAATCAATATACTTTCAAATTTTTCATTTTGATTATCGTACTTTTAAAAGTGACTGTTTTGCTTCATTTTATTTTTTATCTCATTTTTCTTAATTACGATTTCAACATGATACTGTATTCAATATAAAATTTGTGTTAAAATTCTACAAATAAGGATCAAAATACCTCAAGGTGCAGCCTAGCTAATTGACAAGGACTTAGGGACGGTTGGTCATAAAGTTTAAGTTTGAATCTTTTAGTGAGCTTAATAACAAAAATTTTTAATGTCCCTCGAGTCGAGTGTTGGGCGGATAAGCGTGGCCCTGGTATAGGATATATATCTTTTTAAATTATAAAATAAAGAAAAACTTCAATCTTCTAAAAGAATCCAACCTATAATATAACCTTTTCCTTTTAAAATAATAAAACCCATAACCCAATGTGACCTGAAAAAGATACATCTTTTAAATTTTTATTTTTTTTTCATAAAAATGTTATCGGAAATTTTAGTTAAATTTGATCAAAACTTAAAAAAAAATGTTTTTTTCTTCAAAAAGGAAAAAAAATATATATGTTATTGCTATTTCATTTTATCCTCCAAGTTTTTCAATTTTAAAGAATATAATTTTGACATGCATTTTGTTTAAATGCAAGAAATTTTTGTTTAAAAAAATGAGAACATATTTCTAATTTCCAAAATTTCACTCAAAACATACATACCACGCATGTAATCCCCTAGTTC